TGTTTTTTCTGTTGTTGTATCAAAAATCTTATTGCCAAACCCATGGCCACCTAGATTTTCTTCTATTTTCTAAGTTTTAATTTTGAATTTTAAATTTGGGCACACTGTCCGATTTAAGTTAATTTTAGTGAAAGGTTTAAATTCAACATCCAGATTCCTTGTTTTTCAGTGCATATGAATGTCCAGTTGTTTCAGCAACGTTTGTTGAAAAGGCTGGTCTTTCTCCATGGTATATTTGTTACAATTGTTACATTTATTTTTGTACCTTTGTCCTTTGTCAAAGATTGTGTGTATTTCTGTATATTTCTTGGCTCTCTATTCTGTTCCATTGATCTATTTATCTATTCTTTTGTCAATAGCACACTTTCAATTACTATAGTTTTATAATAAAACTGAATTACAGTAGTGTTAGTTCTCAGACTCTTCTTCAATATTAGGTTGAGTGTTATCAGTCTTTTGCCTCTCCATGTGAACTTTAGAATCAGTTTGTCAATATCTACAAAGTAACTTACTAGAATTTTAATTGAGGTTATATAGAATCTGTAGTTCAAAATTTGAAAGAACTGACACATTAACAATATTGAATCTTATTTAGGTATTCTTTGATTATTTGTCAGAGTTTTGTAGTTTTCCTCATAGAGAACATGTACATAGTTTTTTATTGAATTTATACCTACTATATCATCTTTTGTGCTAATGTAAATGCTGTGTTTTAATTTCAAATTTCAATTGTTCTGACCTATCACTTGATGCAGAAAAAGCATTTCAAAAGGTTTGACACTCATGTATGGTAAAAATACACAGGAACCTAGGAATAGAGGGGAACTTTCTAAAATTGATGAAGGATATTTACCAAAAAAATTAAATCCCACAGCTAACATTGTGCTTAATGCTAAATACAAGAGACTAAATGCGTATTATGTCCTCCAAAAATTCATATGTTGAAATTGTAACCACCAACATAAAATATCAGCAGATAAGGTCTTTGGAGGATGATTAGGTCATGAGGGCAGAACCCTCACAAATGGGACTAGTGCCCTTATAAAAGAGTCCCAGTAAGGACCATTAGCCCTTCCACCATGTGAAAATATCACCTATGTTCTCACATAGGTGAAAGGATATCACCTGTGAAACAGAAAGCAGATCCTCACCAAATATGGAATTTGCTAGCACCTTGATCTTGACTTCCTGGCTTCCAGAACTGACAGAAATAGATTTCTGTTATTTATGATATTTTGTTATAGAAGCATCAGTGGGCTCAGATAGTAAGGATCTAAATGTTTCCCAAGATCAGGTACAAAGAAAGATTTCCCCTCTCACCACTCTGTTTCAACATTTTATGGAAAATTTCCAGCTAACACTATAAGACACAAAAAGGAAATAAAGGTATACAGATTGAGAAAGAAGAAATCAAACATATGTGTCCACAGATAACATCATTATTATGTAGAAAATCCAAAAGAATCAACAAGAAGTTCTCAAAACCCCAGTGAGTTATTTTGTGGATATCCACATATTGATTCTGAAGTTTCTACGAAAGGACAAAGACCCAGCATAGACAATACAATATTAAAGGAAGAGAGCAAAATTGCAGGGCTAGCACTACTCGGCACCTAGATCAACTATAAAGCTACAGTAATCAAGAGTGTGATATGGATGAAATGATAAATAAATAGATTCATTACACAGAATAGAAAGCCTAGAAATAGACCAACTGATATTTGACCAAAAACCAAAGGGAATATGATGAAGCAAGGACAGTCTTTTCAACAAATGATACTGCCACAACTGACCAAACACAGGCAAACAAACAAACAAACAAACAAATTCTAGGCACACACATCACACCCTTCATAAAAATTAACTCAAAACTATTATAGACTAAATGAAAAATGGGAAACCATAAAACTCCTACAAGATAACATAAAAGAAAACCCAGACTTTGGGCATGGTGATACATTGTTAGATATACCACCAAAGGCAGAATCTATAAAAAAAATTGATAAACTGGACTTTATTAACATTAAAAGCTTCTGCTCTGTGAAAGACAATGTCAACAGATTAAAGAGACAAGCCACAGACTAGAGGAAAATATTTGCAAAAGCCACAGCTGAGAAGGGAATGTTATCCAAAACAAAGACAAAGAACTCAACATGAAAATAAGAAAACAAGCACCATGATTAGAAAAATAAGCCAAAGACCTTATGAGACACCTCATCCAAGAGGACATACAAATGGAAAGTAATCATTTGAAAACATGCTCCACACTGTAGGTCATAAGAAAATGCAAATTATAAACAAAATGACAATGAAATGCAACTATGTACCTATTAGAATGACAGGTTTCAAAATCTGAAACATCAACAACATCAAATGTTATTGTCCAAACCCATTGAATGTACAAAACCAAGAATAAACTAAACTACGGGCACAGGTTGGTTATGATGTGTCAATATAGGTTCATCAATTGTAACAAACGTGCCAACCCAGTGGAGGACGATGACAATCAGGTAGGCTATGCAGGTGTGGGAGCAGGGAAATCTCTGCACTTGCTTCTCAATTTTTCTGTGAATCTAAAATCACTCTAAAAAATTTAAGTCTTGAGAAATTTCAATTGTTCATTGCTATTAATAATATGTAACAGAGTAATAGACTTTGTATATTGACCTTGCATTTTACAACCGTGCTATAGATACTTATAAGTTCCAGAAGTGTTGTTGTTGATTTTTTGGCCTTTTCTGTACAGATTCTCATGTCATCTGCAAATAAAGACAGCTTTATTTTTCTTTCTCAATCTATACACAGCACTTAGCTTTTATTTCCTCTTCTCTTATTGCATTGGTTAGAACTTCCAGTGCAATGTTGAATAGGTGTGTGCTGTTAGCTCTACATTTTTTTAGCTGTTATTCATCAAATTGAGGAGTAGCCCCTCTCATCCTAACTTACTGACATTTCTCATGAATGGGTGAAATGGTTTTTCTACATTTATTGATAAAATCGTATGATTTTTCTTTTTAGCCTATTAATATGATGGATTACATTAATTGATTTTTTTCAGATGTTGAACAACTTTTACATCCCTGGCCTAAATCTCAGTAGGTCTTTGTATATAATATTTTATACATTGATGAATTTGATTTGCTGATATTTGGTTGAAGATTTTTCATCTATATTCGTGAGAGATATGGTCAATAATTTTCTCTTGTAATGTCCATGTCTGGCTTTGGAATTATAGTAATACTGGATTTCTAGAAGGAATTAGAAAGTATTCCCTCTGCTTCCACTTTATGGAGCAGATTTTATGAAATTAGTATCATTTCTTCCATGAATGTTTGGTAGAATTCACAAGTGAAAATTCATGGGCTTGGTGCTTTCTGTTTGGAAGGTTATTGATTATTGATTCATTTTCTTCAATAGATATAGGTCTATTTAGATTGTGTCTATATTACTGTTTGAGTTTTGATAGCTTGTCTATTTTAAATAATTTATCTATTTCATCTAAGTTAGCAAGTTGTGGGACATAGAGTTGTTCATAAGATTTTTATTATCCTTTTAATATCCATGTGATCAGTATGATGATCCTTCTTTCAATTCTGATACTAATAATTTGTGTCTTTACTCTTTTTTTCCTGGTTAGCATGGCTAGATATTTATCAATTTTAGTTATCATCAGGTATTCATCCAGTACTATGTGCTACTCATGGTTTTCAGTTTCAGGAATAATTCAGAGAAGGGTAGGTATGAGATTTTATTTAAATTCTTAAATTTTGTATGATATTTATAGCTACAAATGAGATACTGATGTGTACCCCACAGAGGGCACAGATAATACTGTATATTTGAGAGTAAGGTAATCCCAAGGAGTGGGGCTTCTATAAGTAGGAACTAGGGAGAAAATTATGGGATAGCTGCAGTTTAACTGGAATATAACATGTGTGATAAAATTAGCATATATTTAGAAAGATGGATGGAAGACAGTTGGTGCAAAGCTATGAGTGACTACCCAAAAATGTGGAAAAATGAAACTTGGGGTGAATTTAAAAGTTAATCAGTTAGTATCATTTATTTAGCAGTTGGAAAGAATTTACAGAAGTCAGAATGTTTTAAAATAACATTCTTGTTCAAGCACAGTGGCTCACGCTTGTAATCCTCACACTCCCGGAGGCCAAAGGGGGAGGATTTCTTGAGCTCAGGAGTTCAAGACCAGCCTGAGCAAGAGTGAGACCCCATCTTTACTAAAAATAGAAAAACTAGCCGTGCATTGTGGTGGATACCTATAATCCCAGCTACTTGCAAGGCTGAGCCAGGAGAATCCCTTGAGCCCAGGAGCTTGAGGTTGCAGTGAGCTACGATGATGCCACTGCACTCTACCCAGGACAACAGAGTGAGACTCTGTCTCAAAAAAAAAAAAAAATACATATATAGATACAAAAAGAAGTGCAGATTTTATATATTGGTTTGGTAATTATAATCAAGATATATTTATAATAAATCCATAGTTAACATAAAAAATTTATGAAATTAGTGATTCAGCCTCTAATGAACTTGTTTGCTATTTTAATAAATTTGAGTTTTCCAACAACACATTAAGCATGCAATTTATGATAACACAATCAGTTTCAAGGTTACAAGTCAACAATACAAGTCAAACATGAATAATTAACATTTTGAACTTATATAAAATCATTTGCCCTTGATAAAAAAGCTGACTTATGCAGAAATTCAACTCTATATTGACTTTTTATAAATACAGATTCTTTACTATAGTTTCAACTAAAATGGGGGAAAATCAACAGATAATCTTTAGATAAAAATATCTTAAAAATTTGGTTATCTTTTCCAAAGTGTATTTTCTTATATACAGCATAATTAATTGGATAAAGAAGCTTCATTGATTGTAATGGAGTTAGTGGGAATTTTGCTATTAAATATAGATACATTTTTAAATTTAGATTCATAATAGTATGTAGAGTATTGAAAATGTAAGCTACCTTTCAAAAGTTACTCCATTCTCTTAGAGATATTTCATTAAAATATTTCTATTATTATTGGAGGTATTATTATTTGGAGATCTACCAGATTCAATCTCCCCCTTGAACAACTAAGGTCTTGACTTTACTCTGAGGACATTGATTCTTCAACATGGCATCTGGTTACAGTTTCCAAAATAATAACCTTAGAAAAGGGAAAAAAGATGAAGACTAGTTAGACAAGCTACATGGCCACAGCTCTCCACCAAACCACAACCGGCATTTATCATCTTCTTCTCCAACATTCATTCTAGATTGCTTACATTTGACTGGAATTTCTGCTCATCCAATTTGCTTGCCTGTCAGCTCAAGCTACATATAAGCAGGGAAGATGTTGAAGCAATTGGTTTTCCCAGGCTCTTTCTCTGATTGTTGATTCAGTGATTTCTCTGCAATAAATGCTGTCTGCTGGGCAGTGATGTAAGAAATAAAGCTGTGAATGTTTAATGACTTCCCAAGGGTCCATCCACCTGACTTTATTCCAGATTTCTTTGTCTCCAGTCTTCCAGTCTTGCATTTTCCAGGGCTCTCATTGTCAGTCTAAACTATGTGCTATTGGGAAAAAAAACCTGGTTATATCCTTATTTATGTCAACTTTCCTCCTATATCTAACTTGGCAACCTAGAAGCCCTGTTTTAAGGTCAGCCAGTGGCAATATTTCTCTTTATCAGTGTCTTTTAGGACCATCCTGAAAGGAGCTGTAGTAAGGCACTATATTAGAGTTCTTCAGAGTAACAGAACTGAAAGAGAGAGAGAGAGAGAGAGAGAGAGAGAGAGAGAGAGAGAGAGACTTTCAAGAATTATCCACATTATTGTGGACTCTTGGTAAATCCAATGTCTTTAGGGTAGGTTGTCAGGCTGGAGACCCAGAGAACAGTTACATTTCAAGTCCAAAGACAATCTGCTGGCAAAATTTCTTCTTGTCAGGAGAGGTCAGTCTTTGTTAAGGCCTTTAACTAATCAGATGAGGCTCACCTCATTATAAAGGATAATCTGCTTTAATCCAAGTCCACCATTTTAAATGTGAACCTCATCCAAAAAAACACCTTTACAGAAGTATCAGAATAATGTTTTACCAGATATCTAGGCACTATTGTCTAGCCAACTTGATATAAAATTAATCATCACAGGCACCAATATATATATCCAGCACACCTTTCACTATTGACTCATCATAGGAAATCACCCACAGCTCACAGGTATAAACTGGAGGAGAGGAATTGAAGCAAGACAGGTAATTGGCATGGGGCAAGAAGGAAAAGTTCTACTGTTTTCAACTCTGATGATTCCCATTGACACTAGGGAGCCCAGTTCCATATCACCATCTCCTGCTACTCCTTTTACTTGGGTCCTCTGGATCTGCTCAGAACCAAACCTGAATATGCCATTTCCAGCATGTGAAGGATTTTCACTCTTTTTAATTTACTATGTTGGCCATAAAAGAGATTTCAAAGGCTTCCACTTGACTTCCCCTAACATAATTTTTACTAGTCTACATGAAAGGTAACCAATCCAATCGTGTGTCATCTGTTAAGTAAATTCATGCCAATTATTCACATAGAGGCTAGAGATAAATAACTTCAAGGTGAATTTCTAGAATCTTTGGACCCATTGTGAGGTAGACCTGAGCCAAGATTGCCTTTATGACTCTATTCTAATGGGAGATAATGATTTCATTTTGGTTCGGTTGGTATCAGCATCAGGTTAGATACTCACAGAAGTATCTGTTTAATCCACCGTCCCCAATACATATTGCTCATTTCTTTTGGGGAATAGTTATAAGATATACTCTCTGGACCATTTCGAGGCCCTTGTTCCAAAAGATATGTAGCTATGTCTTTTCTTTAGTCAACTGGCTTTGGATCTGACATTTGGCTCAGATCTGTAGCTTGAGTTAGATATCGTGGTGTTCCATTTTGGAATTAAACATTAGACATTGGCTCACCGACCCTTGATAAGTTTTGACTATATAAGTGAAACACACACACACATACACACACACACACACACACACACACACACACACACACACTTGGTTGCACAACTTCCTCACCCATACCTGGGAACACCATGGTTTATTAGCCATCACTATAGACCACAAGTCAAGGATCCCTATTTGCTATTTTAGTTTGCTGATCATTGCAGTAATTCTGCTTGCTTTGCTTCTGCCCACGAGGACTCCCTCGCCTCCTGAGATTAGTTTACAAATCTCTCCTCTGTGCCTCCAAGCAACATAATCAAGTCCTGGGGGTACAGGATCTGGCCTGTGAGCCTGTCTCTGGGTCCCTGAACACCAATCCTTAACTGTGCCAGAGAGCAGTGTGCTGGTCCTGAGTTGCCTATGGGGTGCCCAGGCAGGTTTGATGTCCCTCTGTTTCCTGGTGTGCCCTGCTTTGATGGAGCAGCCAGGCAAGAAGCACTGGGGAGGGTTGTTAAGCAGGGAGCTCTCAGTCCGAGCATCCCTTAGTCTGCTGCAGGTCTTTGAGAAGAAAGGTTTGAGCCCTGCTTTCTTTGGAAGCCCCAGTGTGGTGGATGAACTAATGAAAAGGAAGCAGCTGTTCCTGACAGTCCAGCTCAATGGTCTCTCTTGGCAGCTGTGGGCAGGGAAGGGAAAATGGAGGGAAAGAGTCTTAATGGAGGAAAGCTAGCACTCTGGTGATCTGTATTCCTCCTCCACCAAGAGTGTACAGGCTCTGGGGTCATGCAGATCCTCCTGGAGGCCCTGCAGGCCCCTGTGGCTCCTGCAGTCTTAGCCAGAGTTGGGAAATGTTTGTGTAGGGACAAGCGAGATGGAAACTGGGAGGCTGAAGCCCCCTGGGGTGGACAAAGGAGCACAGTGAGTCTAGAAGCAATATGGTGCCTGCTGTTTTGGCTCAGGTCTGTGGTGACAGTGTGTGACCCCAGAGGGCTGGCAGCCTGGTAATTTGTCCTCAGGACTCTCCCAGTTCACTAGTGACAGCAGCTTTGGGGCTCATGAGGGTGGAAGGGCTCTCCAGCAGCTCAGGAGCCTACTGACTGCCAGAGATGTGGGGCAGGGAGAAACAAACCAACCACCCACCCTTCTCACTGGACTCCAAGCCTCTCGGGCATTGATCTCTGCCGATACGCTCCTTCTTGTTCTGCTCCACAACTTCTTCCCATGGAATCTCTGGTAGGTTCTAGGACTCTTTCCTCAGAATTATGCCCAATCTATGTTTGTTTGCTTGTTTCTTTTTCATCTAAAGCTTTTTCCTTTTTTATAAGACAATCTGGCAGCTGATGTCTCTCGTCAGCCATCTTGTCTTCGCTACCCTTCAATAGATATTAAAAACTTAAAGGTAAGACCTATAAGACATTTAGAAGAAAATGTGGAAGAAATATAGGAGTTTTTAACAATAATATTCTTGACATTAATCTCTTGGTTATGACACCAAAACTGCAGGCAACAAGACCAAAAATAAAGGAATGGGACCACATTAAACTAAAAAGCTTTTGCACAGCAAAAGAAACAATCAACAGAATGAAAATACTACCTACAGAAAAGGAAATTCATATACTATTTATAAAAATATAAAATGGTATAGCTGGTATGGAAAACAGTATGGTGCTTCCTCTAAAAGTTAAAAATTGAACTATTATATTATCCAGCTACCCTTCTTCTAGAGATATATCCAGAATTAAGCAGAGAGTAGAATGGTGGTTTCCAGGAGTTGAAACAGAGGGAAATAAGTTGTTTTTCAATGAGTGCAAAGTTTTAATTATGCAAGATAAATGAGTTCTAGAGATCTGCTAGTACATCATAGCGGATATAGTTAACAATACTGAATTACCCACCTAAAAAGGTTAAGAGGGTTGCCCTCATGTTAGGTGTTCTTATCACAAAAACCAAACCATGAAAGACATTTTTTAAAATTTTAAGGCAAAATTACTATTTTGTCACATAGAAGATATATAAATGTACATTTTTACTGCACAGAATAATACATGATATGTACTATATTGTGGAACTATTAAAAAAAGATGAAAGGATATAAATCATATTTTTTAATGAAAGACTATACTTAAATCACAAAGTAATATAAACTAACTCCTATACCACCCTGTCAATTATGATTTTTCAATGACTTTTTAAGTTATTAAGCTTAAATTTAAGTTTTCTGTACAGGCTTTTTTATTCTTCTGGTGGCAATTGAATGTGTTCCTCTCTGCAAACTTTAAGAGAAAATTACTTATTTAAAAGTAAAAATTAGATTATTTTTTCTTAACTTAAATACTTATAAATTTTAAATCAAACATAACTTTTTATACAGTTACTGCTTAAGAACCTTTTGGAATCCTAATATACACACAAATTGAAGTTTTAAAGCTCTTATTGAAAATTCTTAAGCAAATAACATAAATATTCAAAACATAGATATTTAGGACTAAAATACATTCTAGTTTAAATTATTTCATTATTTCCCTATGCTATATTTATTTATATTATATAAATACATCTATCCAATTATAATAAACTATTATAAATAACTTATTAAATTTATTAAATATTTTATTCATGAAAACGTGTTAATTTCTTGTGCTGCAGATGGACTGCCATTGTAAAGAACTGTTTAGTCTCCACAGTCTATTTTACTGGATTAAGTGTACTTTTGCTGCTATTAATGTTATAGCTACAGGGCTTCAAAACATGCAATGAATTATATAGATTTCAGGTTGCCTAACATAGACAGAAAAATGACTGATCATTCACATAATCTGATTAACCCTAAATAATTACCTTAAAGGGCTATGGCACTAGATAAAAATGTTTCAGTTCACTTAATCTTTCATCAATTCAAAAATACTTACAAGATTAAAGAAATATACATTCAAAGTAAAGTAATCAAATCCATCTATTTTATCAGTTTAATGCAATTTATTCACTGATGCTGATAATTTTTTTTAAACTATCTCAGCGTGACTGGGAGATCAGTGCCAGTGAAATGTTTTGTTTACTACTTCCATTTCCCCTAGATTTTTGGAGTTTTAGTACCTGTTGCAATTGCTTCTGACTCTATTGATCTTATTGAAAGTTAAAGGGCAAATAAAAGCAATTGAATGGTATCATCAAACATTCGCAGCTGCAGGCTGCTTGATTAATTAAGACATGCTGTATTGCACTAAAATAAAACTTTTTTGTGGTGGTTTTCATAAAATTAAAATCATGAATAAAAAATGTTAACAAATCCTTATAATAACTACTTATATTTTATAAAGCTTTATGATTTTCACAGTACTATGACATGTGAGTTTTTTTTGAATCATCAAGTACAAAGTACTAAAGATAAATTGACATTTAATTCTCTCTGGAGGCTGAGGAAAGACGATCGCTTGAGCCCAGGAGTTTGAGGCTGCAGTGAACTACAATTATGCCACTTGCATTTGACCCAGGGCAACAGAGTGACACTCTGTCTCAAAAAACAAAAAAAAAAAATTAACATTAAATTCTCCTTAGAAGGAAGTTCACTCTACTAATCTATATTATGCAAGAACTCTTAGAAAGGCAGTAAATGCATCCTAGATATTATCACACAGAAATAACAGCCAAAGACAATATGATTTCTGTTTACACTTTGATATTCCTTGACAAGAAGATCAAGTTCTACTCTTTAAATACTTAAATTCAATGCAGATTATAGTACAAAATTGATAATCACCATTGTTTCTACTACTTACTATTTAAAGTACCTATTATGTACTAGGCACTTTATACGTTATCTTCTATGTTCTATCTTTTCAAAATAAAGCAGCAAACAGATATTGTGACTTGCAGTGTGTATGTGAGGAAGTTAGAAGGACTATGGCTTGTTTTCCAAGTTACAGACAGAGTAAATGGATAAACTAGCAGTCATATGAAAATTGGGCAGCCACTAAGCCAATAATATTTCTACTATACCAATCTGCCTCACCAATCGGCCTCCCAATTATTTCCACAATGTTTACTTTTCTTATGAATCCAAAAACGCTCAGCTGCTAAGAGTAGCAGTTCCCAGGTACAATTTCTCTACGTGGCACTCTGCAGACAAAGATATGATTGAGACTGTTGTCTTTTAAGGGTCAATGGTCCGTGATCAAAGCAGCAAAACAAAATTTCCTCTTTTTTTTTTTAAATCTGCTCTGTTAAAAAAAATTTATAGGTGGGTGCAACTTAAAAATAAAACACATATTTAAGCAAAAGTGTTGTCTTTGACCATATTGATTATTTTTGTTCCAGAACATCTTACAACTTGTTTAATATTTTCTGTACTAAGAAGCATATTATAAACACCATATTAAAAGCTTTCTTAGTTTGTTTTCTGTTGCTATAACAGGATACCACCAAATGTATAATTTATAAAGAAACTAAGTTTATTTAGCCCCCGGTTCTGGATGCTAATGAATCGAGAGCATGGTGCTGGCATCTGGTGTGACACTTCTTGCTGATGAAAGGCATCATATGTGAGAAGGCAAAAGTGAGCTAGTTCAGGTCTCTCTTCCTCTTATAAAGCCACCAGTCCTATCATGGAGGCCCCATG